CGGCAACCAACGCAGTGTTGTCCGGTCGGCATCGGTCCTTTTTGTTCTTCTTGTCCCTCTGTGTGGAGGGGCCCTCGTCTTGGTCCGTGCGCTTAGCCTTGCCTTTGTCCCGGCCTCCGTTGAAGATCGCTCTGACCGCTTCCTCGCCAGAGGCGTGGTTAGTGGCTACGTCGAGCAGGTCACGGGAGGTACGGGGCTTCAGGCATCCAAGCTTATGGATTAGGGACTCATAGGTCGTCCCGGAGAGGAACGCGCTGATGACATCCGCGTCGATGACATCAAGGAGGGAGTTGCATCGTTGGGAGAACCTGCGGATGTAGTCCCGTAGGGATTCGTTGGGCTCCTGCTGGCAACTCTTGAGGTCCTAGGAGTTCCCAGGGCAGACATACGTCCCCTAGAAATTCCTGATGAAGACCCTCCTAAGGTCTGCCCAGTCGTGGATGCTGTCGTGTGGGAGGAATTCAAGCCATGCCCAAACATGTTCCCCCACGCAGATGGGGAGATACTGAATGATGAAATAGTCATCATCCACCCCTCTGGCTCGGTAGGCGAGCTGAAAATCTTTGAGTCAAATACCGGGGTTTGTCTCCCCGGAGTACTTGGTGATGTTGGTGGGCGGTTGGAAGCGCTGTGGGAACGGCGTTCTCCAGATACGCCGGTCAAAGGCCCGTGGCCCCGGACCCTCAGGGCTGGGACTCTGGTCGTCCGGTCGGTGACCGTGCCTGGGGCGCGTTTCACCGCTCCCCTCGATGGTTCGGCCGAGATCCATGTCGCCCACTCTTGCCGCCGCATAGTGGACATCATCATCGTGTCGGGCCCGATGCCGATTGCTGACGATGCTACGAGCATCCTGGTGCGGATCGGGCCGCTCGTGTATCGGCGGTTGGTGTGGAGCAGGCACCAGGTCAGACCGTGGCGTGGCTGCCGCCCCCCGAGCCGCGCCTGCTAGCTGTAGCGGCGAGCGAATGGAGCGATCCATCTGGAGCATCCTCGTTGCCCTAGATGGGAGAGAGGGGCGTGTCGGAGTCACGACGCAGAGCTTTCCGCCTATTGAACAGCGACGGCTTCTACTAGAACCCGGAGGTTTCGGTAGACTTTCCGCTCCTAGGGGTCGACGGGCTCAGGAACGCCGCGCGGAAGCATTGCCGCAGCAGTGATGTTCTGGCCAACCCGAGCGAATTGTGGGAGATCGTTCCCCTCGTTTATGATGTCGTGTTGGACCTAACGGGTGCGACCCCGGGCACCACCCGCCGAGCCATGCGCATGGGCGCAACGTGCTATACCGACTACGCTGGCACAGGCGGCGGCTGGTTCTACCACCGTTGTCGTAATTCCTCCGCGTCTACTTGCGCAGACACGAGGGCCCCCACACACAGGTCCGAAGGGGTGTGGGTCTGTGCAGATTCCACAACCACCGGAGGCTGTCCCGAGGCGTCCGCCATAGCGCACTCTTAGGACGGACGGTGGCGAGGTGCCACGTCACCGATGCTGGAGCCGTCGCTCCCCCCTCGTCATCCGGGAGTTTGTGGAGAGTGGCGGGAGCGTAGCTCGCCATTCCCACGAGTTCGGATGTGAGGGGGATGGCGCCAGCATCCTTCGGAGCCCCCCGAGCGTACGCATCCGCGGTGGACGCGAGGCCGTAGAGGAACCGAACATACGGTGTTCGTGGCGCGGGCAGTACGGTCCCTCCGGATGATCGGCGGGACATAGTAGATAAAGAGTAAATAACAGTACGCATATTACTTACAGCGGGGTTTGAGCAGAGAGTTTGGTCGGAATGAAACGCAGATGTCGCGTCATTGAAGTCGTGCATCCCGGAGTCGATGGAGGGCGCCCCTCCGACGGGTGCCAGAACGAGTGCCTTCTCGCGGAGGTGTAGTATGCTGAGCCGATCGGCGACGAAGTCCAAGCTTCTGAAGAGGAAGGCCTGGGATGGCTCAAAGACGAGTGGAACCCACATCCCAATAGGTGAGAGTGCGGGAAACTCTAGTGAGCCGAAGCGAATCGTATCGCCTGAGCCCGCCGCACCAAGGGTGGTGGAAAACTGGGCCATCCGATGACCAAAAAGTGTTGAACATACAGCGTCTTCCCCACAGACGGCGCCAACTGTCGGTGCAGAAAGTGACCAACACGTAAATATTTATAGTTTTGCCGTACGTTGTGATCAGAGGTGGCCTAACACTCAATGACACAGGGTTTATACTGGTTCAGGCAACGTGCCCTACGTCCAGTTTGAGTCAGTCGGTGACTTTATTCCTGAGCCCAGGTGCTCGAAGTTTGTAGTGGGGTTACAAATGAGAAGGAGAAAGATGAGGTGTACGAGAGGTCCAGTCGGACTCCGGTCGGAAGGGCCAAGAGTGACAGGAGCCCCGCTACGAGCTAAGTGTTCAAGCGTGTGCTTGAGGTCCGAATCTGGCGGTTCTGTGGTTGTGAGCTAGAGAACTTGGTTGATCTAATGAATCTGGGATGGCTTGGAGAGCCTGGATTGACCCTTTTTTCGGAACTCTCTGTGTTGGAGGGAGCGCATCCCCTTTTATAGATGAAGGAGATGGCTTTACAAGTGAGAGTGGAGGATACGTATGCTACTGAGCCTTGTTACCCACGCCGACGGGTACGAGATAATGGTAGGCGCCCACAACAATGTTGATGCTACTGTTGAGTGTCAGATGCATGTGGGAGGTGGTGTTGTCTTCTTTGGGTATGGCAGACGTCGGTACCTGCATATACTGTTGATGCCCAGAGGCATGTGAGGAGTTTCACCAGGTTCACCTGGTACGGTAAATCCCGGTGCCCACAATACTATTTATGCCCAGAGACATGTGGGGGCCTTACCGTATGGGAGTTGACGGCGCCCATAATACTGTAGAGGAAAATGTCGGCGCCTACAATACTGTTTGTGTCAGGGCGGTTGCAGAGTACTGTTCCTGCAGGTGACAGGGTACGGTCTCTGGTATCGTGGTTTGACTTGAGCGTTTTGCCTTGCTTTCTCCGTTCGTTCCGTGGTCCTTTCTGGGCGGGCGTCCCCGGTCAGTTGGTCCTAGCCAGCTCTGATTGCGCCAGTTGGAGAAGAGCAGTGAGCAGGGTCGTTGCATATCCCCGGTCGGAGAGTGCGTGGTCGAAGTCGGAAGCGGTGCTTTTGGTCAGGCCTTCCGGTCGAAGAGGCCATCCGGAGGCAGGCTGAAGACCGAAGTGAGCGCTCCGGTCGGAGAGGTGGGCCGGAGTCGGAAAATGAGCGTTGTTCCTCCTCGGCCTGGCCTTCCGGTCGGAGATTGGACCACTCCCCCGGCCTGTCGCTCAGGTATTTGGGCCGGCCCAAGAGTTCCGTGCTGTCTGCTTGGACCGAGCCTTTATGGAGAAGCCGGTCCACGGGGGACCCCGGGTTTATAAACCCAACAAGCTTATTGTTTAATTTTTTGAGAGGCTCAAATCACTCCCTGCCCCTGGCCTCTTGAGGTCATTTGGTCCTTGTATTCTTACAGCACTTCATCGTAAAGCTGGCCCAAAAACTTTAGTTACCACCTTTAGTGTTTTTTAAATATTATATATAGTATAATATAATTTTCGAGCTTTCAATATATAATAGCGAGGAGGGTTATAATATGTGTGGCGTTGAAAACCTAGAACATGGGCTATTAGGCCCAAGCTTTTCATGCTATCATCATGGGCCTAGATATAAAGTTCCTACCATGTTAAAATGGCCCGGCCCATAAGTAACAAATCGTTGCGTTAACTAATCTCATCTGTTACTTGGAGCAGTAGCAAAGGAAAGAAGCTGACATACACCTTCCATGGTTCCGCTTATCTGATCATGTTACAATGTGTCCGCAGTTGACCGAGGGGCTGTAGTACAAAGTAGCAGGTACACGCATGCGCTAGTGCTAGAGGGAATCATTGATCGTATCTCCTAATCCTATACATATTTTTGCGTCACAAGTGTAGCTGATCCGACTAAACCTCACCACCATAACCCTGTTGGTCTAATAACGGCCGCTGCTTGCTTTAGCATTTAGCAAAACATAGCTGCCAGCCCAACTGGGGAAACATGATCTCTGGGTTGACTTGGGCGTGCGTGCGCGCGCGCTTTGGTCGTGGGGCGGCGGCGATTATGTGAACCCAGTTGTAGCGGTAGTGATCACCAATCACAAATTAAAAAAAATGACATCCCTTTAACTTGTATGCAAAGAAATAAGTATATATATGTGGCCGCCACCTTTGCTGCTGCATGCTGGCAAGTGGCCAGAGCAAAAAAAAAAAAGGTAACGAAATCCTTGCGTGCATGGCACTATGGCAGCAATGCTGCATGCATGCATCAGCGCGAGAGAGCCTTTCAGCCTTCAAATAGCTGCATCGTGATTAGTTCGTGAGGGTACTACGAATGCTTGCTTCACCGGCCATCGGCGTATCACATATAGTTTAAGGCCCTATAAGGTACCGTTTATATCCCATAGTTTAAAGTTTAGCAACTAAACTTTATATTATACTTCAGCTCTTAAGATTCCAACAAAAGGACTAATGTGGTGTCTAAAGTTTAGCTAACCTCAGAAAAACTTTAGACCACATAAGTAGTCTAAAGCTTTAGTACTTAACTTTAGACCATATGATCTAAACATGACCTACCTAAATATGTGATTAAAATTGGGTTGACCTTTTTTAGCAGCAGGTAGTACAGTTAAACAACTGGAATATAATCCACTTGTACAGTTCCGCTTGCAATGCACACCCAAATCACATGCATATGGATGTGTGATCGGCGGCCAACGTGTGAGCCCCGTTTCCCCAACCAAGCTGCCATACACACGCATCCTCCTTGCAAAGTGCAAACGGAAATCATTTGTTCCAAGAACGGAATCTGTCTGACAGTGAGACACCCCGTCCACCTCGTGCTCCTATAAATTGAACCATCTTCTCATTTCAGGCCTACCAGCACATCGTTAAACAGCATAGCTTCCTGCTTCTTCGATACTTTGATAGGAGTACACACCTCTGCTTACGATCATACGATGATGTCTTGCCTCGCGAGATGCCTTGTGGCCTCCCTGTCCGTCGTGGTCCTCGCCGTGGTCTGCTTGCCATCCCGCGGCGAGGCCATGGGCCTGCCCCAGCCACCGCCGGACCTCAACTTCACCGTCGCCGTCGAGGGCATGGTCTGGTGCAAGAGCTGTCGGTACGCCGGCTACGTCCGGTCCATGGACGCGTCGCCTCTACCGAGTACGTAGCTATATATGTCCGGCCGTCACTGTTCGTATTCTCACCTGCCACGGTGCCTGCCTGGCCTTTTGATTTTTATGCACGTATTATTGCAGATGCTGCGGCGCTTCTGCAGTGCCAGCGTGGCGACGACGGCAGGGCGGTGTCCGTGTGGAACACCACGGACTCCGGCGGCTACTTCCTGATCCTGGCGGATTGGCAGTCGGCGGCCTTTAAGAGCAAGGACTGCAGAGTCAAGGTGTACGTGCCACGGTCGCCGGCGCGCGGCTGCACAGTGGCCGTCAAACCCAACCCGAAGGGGGCGCCGCTCAAGTTTCGAAGGTTCGTGCCGCTCTCCGGCGAGATGCAGGCGCGCTATTCGGCCGGCGACTTCACATTCGCGCCGGAGAACCCCGCCAAGTGCTAACGAGTAACGACCACGTAGCCGACTCTGGACGTCGAGAAGCATGCAATTAAGCAAATGTTTACGGAGGAGTATGTTACATGTTTGCAGTGAAATAATTAATGATATAACATAAATCTGGACAAATTTTTTTTATTCGATAGAAAAGCTCTAAACGTGTCTCTATCTATTATCTTAGAGGCTTGCTAGCGTCCGGACGTCTGGACGGACGGGTTGTCCAGACGCCCTGCATGCAGTCATTTTTCCGCGGCGTTCCACGCATCCATGTGGGGCCCGCACCATCATGAACGTCACCGGCATCGAGAAGAGAGAGAGGAGGCGGCGCATGCCCAACCGGCGTCGGGAGAAGGAGACACCGAGGCGAGGCAGCACAAGGCGAGGAGGGAGATGCAATACCCAATCTACTTTTGAAACATTACGATGCAACACTTGCCACATACGTCTGAAAGGCAGGTGAAACACTTGAAACATGTATTTGAAACACTTGCAAAACCACCTGGAAAAACACTTGAAACCATTGCAAAACACATACACAACTTCTAGATAAAGCACTTGCAAAAATTTGTGTGAAACATATGCAACATCTAGATAAACACAGTTGCAACATACGTCTAAAAAGACAAATGAAACATTGGGAACAAAAGCTTGCAACATACGTGTACAACCATGCAACATATGCAAGATCTCGATCTACTTTTGTAACATCCATACGAAACAATTGCAACATACATCTAAAACATATAAAATACTAGAAACAGACGCTTGCAACAACGCTTTCAAGTGCAACATCTACTTGCTGCTTGGACGAAAATGATGGCTCATTGATGCGGAGCTCAACGTCGGCGTAGAGCTTGATGCTACGGAGTGACGCGGAGGTCGCCGGTGTGGAGCTCGTCGGCATAACGGACCTCGGCAGGCGGATGGAGTGCGGCCGCAACGGGAGACGCGAGTACGGGCGGGGCGGGAGAGGGCGAGATCAGTCCCGCGAGCAGAAGCGTGCAGCGGGGGGCGCGAGGCGTGAGCGGGAGTGGCGTGGGGGAGGACGGGATCCGTCCCGTGAGTAGGGGCGCGCATCGCGAAAACGTTGTAGAACGAGCGGGCGATGCAGATGGGGGCGGCGCAAGCGGGGTACGTTCCAAGAGCGAGCGATGCGGGTGGGGTCCGTCCGCACGTACGGACGACCAAACAGGAGCATTACTGATTATCTTATTCAAGAAAAGAAGCCTCCAAGTAAATTCTCAAAGCATTTCTACGTTAATAAAAAAACAAAATACCCCTCTACATTCTGATAAATTTCCACCATTACATTCTAATAAATTTCCATCATTACATTCTGATAAATCACCAGATCTAGGGTTTGACAAAGAGGACCAATGAGGAGAGGTTAGAGGGTAGAGGGTAGGAGAGCGAAGGGTGACCGAAGAGAGGTTGAGTCGACGAAGAGATGGCACGTGCCACCGTGGGGGCACGCCGAGGGAGGCAAGGCCAAGGCATGACGCTAGTGCAGATGTGCAAATGCAGGAGAACAGTAGGGAGTGACCAAGACACCAAGTGAAAAAAAAATAATGATGTTAGGGTTTAGGTTAGTATGTGGTGGTTTAGGTTAGTATGTGGCGGCCCAGAGGCCACCTCTATGGACCGGTCGTTTTTATCGCATTGTGCACGTGGCGACCAACGGGCCTCCTTAGGGCCAAGCATGGCACTAGAGTATGGGTCGTGCCGCTCAAGCACTATAGGAAATGGTCATGCTTGTGGGTAGTGCCGGACCAAACATGCAGGAGACAGGCCGCGTGCCAGCCTGTTCGCCCGTTCTATTTGGACACCGGGAAAAAATTCTATGCACTCGGTGATGTACAATGAATCCTGTTCAGCACAGCTTATCTATCGTTAATTTATCGTGATCGCTGTTCTTAGTCCTTCCGTGACTGGTCCTTCCATGCAGTGGACACCATCGCCTGATTTCCCACACAGCCCAACTCAATCCGGGAACACATCGACGGCAGTCAAGCGGTGCTGCACAGGCTTCGTTGTACAACACGATCGCATAGATTTTTTTTCCTTGGACATCTAGCATTTGTATATTTGGGTTGACTCGCGCCTTGCGTCGTGGGGCGGCGATTGTGTGATCAGGGCAACTCGGTCATCACGAGATAGCGATCCTCAATGAACCAAGACATCCTTCACATGCAAATTGAAGTATCGCCGCCCCTTTGCTGCTAGCAAGAGCAACAGCTGAATCCATGCATGCTGCGTGCATCACCCGGATCCACCCGTGTACGGCGCCACATGCTTCGTGACTTGCCTTTTTGGTTTTCAGGGATTCCCTGTCAATTGTACGTACTATCAATCATGGGGGTGGTAATGACTAAACTTTATATGTTTCTTTTTTCAGTTAGATTTAGGCAAGTACAGCTTTATCCAATTGTGGCAGTATAAAGTGCACGAGCCGCAATCACGTACGGATGCGATGCTACTCGCTTGCGATGCACCACCAAGCCACATGCATGCAATGCAAGCCCTGTAACCCGTTTCCCCAGTCAACCATATGGACGCCGCATCTGTCGAGCACACGCAAGCAATCATCTGACGGTATCTCTAAGCTTGCGCCAGCCCGCCAGCCCGCCAGCCGGCCGGAATCTGTTCTCTGACTCGACGTGCTAGCTAGTTGGCTACAAATTGCGCTGCTCTTCAGCTGGGGCTTGCATTGCGTGATCAGTATTCACTAGAGAACGTCATAGCTTCATTCCCCTTCGGTAATTGGTGTGTAGTCACCCTCAGCATCAGTTACAATGGCGTCTTTTCTAGCGAGAAGCCTCCTAGGCTGCCTGGCCCTTGTGATGATCCTCGCCGTGGGCGGCCTGCCATCCCCAGGCTCGGCCATGGGCCTGCCCCAGCCGCAGCCGAGCCTCAACTTCACCATCGGCGTGGAGGGCGTCGTCTGGTGCAACGGCTGCCGGTACCGCGGCTACGTCGAGTCCAGGGACGCGTCGCCTCTCCGGAGTAAGTTCCTTCATCCGGCTGTGTGCTCGTCATCCTCATGGATTTCCAGTCATTTCTGATCACAGTTTATACGAGCATGAGCATATATAACAACACGCGCATATATGCGTGCAGACGCCTCGGTGCTGCTGCGGTGCCGGCACGGCCGCCGGGCGCTGTCGGTGTGGAACACCACGAACGCGCACGGCTACTTCCTGATCCAGACGGGGATGCAGGCGGCGCCCTTCACGAGCAACAACTGCAAGGTGTACGTGCCGCGGTCGCCGGCGCGTGGGTGCCGCGTGGCCGTGAGCCCCGCCCGGAAGAAGGGGTCGCCGCTCAAGTTCCGCAGGTTCGTCACGCTCACCGACGGGCTGCAGGCGCGCTACTCCGCCGGCCGCTTCACGTTCGCGACGCAGGACCGGTCCAAGTGTTAATAACTGACCGTGACGACCGACTCTCTAGACTTCCAAATCCAAAGGGGTCGATCGCGCGCATCGTGTTCATTCGCATCCCTGGGGGCTGGGGGCTGGGGCTGTAAACTCGTAATTATTAATAATATGGTCATGAAGCCGATGTATCTTTGTGCTTCGTTCCTGTACGTGTTGTGGAAGTGTTGCTCCAAGCTCGATCAGTTCGGGAAAGCACCTCTGATGGTGTGCTGCATGCGTCACCACAACATGCCTGCCGACTGCCGTCGAACGCCAGGGCGCGGCTATGACGACGAGTATCCGGCATACCATGGCAGGATTGGGTAGTAAGCGCCACCACGGCCCATGGACACGAAGACGAAAGCCCAACGGCACAACCGGCCCCACGCCCACCTCTCGTCCGCGCGCCATGCCACAAGCTAACCGCCAAGTGCCAAGGGCTTCGTTTCTGTTCGCGCAGGGGGACCGCACTGGGCTGGGCGTGCGTGCTGAACGCTTGAGAGCTGCTGCTGTCGTGCTGTGTGGTCCTCGAGACAGTTCAAGCCCTCATCACATCACGTACACACGTAACACACGCCATTCCATTCCATAGGAACGTACGAGTACGTCTCATAAATCGCCATCACTCGTCGTAGGGTAGGATTATACACCGTCCTAATGAGCGGACGATGTCCCCTTCCCCTCCCTCCCAGAGGTAGATGTGTGTTGTGGACTGTGCCCAACTGCCCATCGACGACGTCGACGTCCCACCATCAGGGACCGAGCAAATGAGCATCCAAAGCTCCCAACGTCACCAACACACAAACCGTTATATTTTAGGGAACCGATACTTTTTTTTTTATCGGTACTCCTACCAATTAATTGGTACAGAGCCAATCAGACAACCGCTGAAGACGGCAAAATCTCGGGCTCATCTGCCCTGCGTCCCCTGAAACCTGTTCCCTGCAAGATCACCAGAACAAGGTACTAATAAGCCGTAATGGCGGATGGCCGGAATCCGACATGGAGCGGGGCGGGCCGGCGGGGGCCGTTGCGGTGGAATCGTGGGACGTATCGACAGCTGCGCTGCGTCTTCTGTCTTCTCTGGTCTCTGCCCCGGGGCCCGGGGGACAACCCGACAGCGATAAGAAGGAAGGATCGGAACAAATTGCTGTGCACTGGAAGGGACTCGTACGTCGTCGTAGTCCGTAATCATGAGTTCATGACGGTAGGGCCTCTCGTCCGTCGCGCGCGCGCGTGTCCATGTTCCTGGCCTGGCCTGGCCGTGCTGCACCTGCGCGGGAGCCGGGGCCCGGCGTCCATCTGCAGCTCCGTGCGCATTCATCGTAGCATAGCTGGAGTCGGCTTGGCAGCTCGTGTGTGACTTTCAGCTTTCGAGATCTTGCTACGTTCACGTTCTACAGTATACACCCTACCGGTCCCCGGATACACTACCGCAACCAATCACGACGGATCCACGGAGCAATCAAACCACTCTCACGGCTCAGCTGAAAGTCACACAGACCACCAGCTGAGGTGCTTTTCAAGACACGGTAAGATTGTAAGAATATCTGTGGTGGTGGTGGTGGTTTGGGCCTGTGGGGGCATAGCGAGTGGACAGCGTGTTCATCTAATCATCTATGGACCCCATTTCAAATTGTAAGACATTCTGGTTCTTATGTTTTTAGATACATGATTTTTATTATACACCTAGATATATATCATGTCAAATTAGCTAAAACTTTGTTCCTTTATCTAAAAAATATCATGTCAAATTTATATATCATAATTTTACAAGCTCTTGTTCGAGAAAGAAAGCATATCACAAGCTCTCATGTACAATTATTGAAAATTCTTGTATCCTCTTGCACAACTCCTCACGTCTGCAGACGAACGCCGAGAAGTCCTAGATTGCGTAGAAAACCATATTACCTGATCGAAGGGGCACCGCATGCCTGGAAGCTAACACATTTATCAATATTATATGGAGAATAAAAAAACGAGAGCTAATGAGGCAAATGCTGATATTTGATTCAACAGATGTAGACCACTTTATACCAAGAGCAAAAGCCTGATGCTGCTAGGTAAAAACCGGATTGATTGCCTGTACAAGTATACCTCGAACCAATGATGTACAAAACCTTTCCTTGTGGGACTATCCCACTCCTCAATTCTGTTTCCTATTTATGCTATTTTGCTACCACGCTAATCTGTAATCCTATCAATCAAACCATGCTAAATCTGTTACAGCTACTCCTACCTCTCTCAACTCTGCAACTCGGATTAAGCTGCACCTCGCACCGTTGGCAACTCTGAATTTAATTGCCACAAACTTTGAAGCCACACACGCGCACAACCTTGGTAAGAAGTCAGTCCATTTATAGCCGAGACTCAGCAGATGCAAACTCCAATCCTCAGTCCATTTCTAAGATCTTAATGTTGCCGCTGGAGTTTGCAGAAAGAAGAGTTGAAGACTGCCCTCTCCAACAGACGCATGAGATGAACTGTGACTGATCATCAATCTCCTGGCCTGATATAGGATCCGTCACGCTGAACTTATATGCCAACACTGGCATGGGAAATTCTTTGTGGTAGACAAAAACCTGTGGTACAGTAAGAAGGGAAAAGTGAGTTAAACATTTTATTTGATGCAATTCCTCATAAAACAGGATATGAATAGGCATTGGAGACATATACCAATCTATAAAAAATTAAAGGGTACTAAGTTCCTGCATGACATTTCTCTATTGACAGTTTGACACAGCAAATGCTGCTTCACCTACAACAGGATATTCATTTGCACCTGCATTCCATCATAATTTCATTTCCTTCCTTCTATGTAAAGCGAGAACTTAGAAAAGTATGAAAGCTACTTGTCTCGCTGTATGGCATATACACATGGTTTAGCAAATGAAGACTAGAACATGAGCATCATGAACTACACTATATCCATCAATAATAAACATCAGCTTTCCTTGCAACAAATGCAATGTTTACTCGCGTACCCTATGATTTTGCATAAAGGTAGGCAAAGTACTGGTCAATCTAACTAGCAGTCAGATGTCCAGACAAGTTTGTGGAAGGTTAGCTATGGAATGCATACCTCATTTGTTTCAGAGCCAGTAGCGATGTAACCATCAGATATGGAAAGGCCAACAAAGTTCTGGTCAAAAGGTTTAACAAATAAGTAAATCGGTCACTCAATGAAAATGTCACCGTCTTTCAGCACAGAAATCAACTCAGCATACAAAGGGTATGTTGGAATAGCTGAAGGGTAACCTCTGTATACATGAGAGTTAATTATGAACTCAACTGAGACACTAAAATATTTCATGAGATCAATCAGCTGCTCAAACTACAAACCACTATGTCAATATGCTACAGGGATAAGCTGGCAATTAAATCTGCGGGAAACACACTAAGTGAAACAATTTAAGGTTGTCAAGCAATCTAAATATCTAAATAAACAACTGGTGCAATGGAATTTAAAGCACTTTGCACACTGATCCATCAAAAGAGAAAAATCTTACAAATTCTCTCATTGATCCAGAGAAAAGGAAAAGAACATCTGGATCACCAATGTTCATGACTATAACATCACACATCAATCAGATACAGCTGTAAAAGGAACTATAGTTGTATATGGGATAGCACAGATAATTGTCACAGTAGGATACTCCATACATACAGTATTGGTGTTTCATTGCAATAGTACAACTTTCGAAATTAAACTAGCAAAGTATGTCCATCAGATAAAACTAGACACTATCACTTGTAGAGCAATATTATGAAAAGAGAACAAGTATGTCTGAAAGTTTTATCAAACCTTTGTGTTTGTATGCCCTGTAAATGTTTGAAGTGGACTGTCAATTATCCTTCCTCGACTCTTCGACAGGTCCCAAAGCTTCAATGAGTTGTCAGTAGATGCAGATACTATTGTTGATGCATCCAGATACTTAACATAGCTTACAGTCTTTGTGTGCCCAACTAGTGTACAATAAGGAGCTCGTATGTTACGAAGATCATAGCAGTAAATTTTGTGGTCTGCAGAGCCGACGGCAATGGAGCGAGCAGAATCAGGTTGAAATTGCACAGAACACACGTTTGCCCTTGTTCTAATAGTGCCAATACTCCCAGCCTGCACAGTTCATAAAAATGTGTTATAACAATGGAGAGAAGCAATTCTACATTCACAGACAAGTTCGATAACCACGCTATCGTTAGTTCAAAAGCTGACATACAGTAGGTGCAAGAATAAAATTGCCTGATTCATATCCCACAGCTTCACAGATCGATCGTCACTCCCACTGACCAATTTTGTTGGGTCCACAATTGAGAAGTCCACCGACCACACACGTCGCTCATGCTCCCTCATCTCAACAAAAACTTGACTCCTAGTAACATCCCAAACCTGAAAATACAGGGATATTATGATAATTGCATCGAACACAAATTTAATTATAAAAAAGCATGCCACAGAGCTCACCTGTACTATACCCTCAAAATCACTAGATGCTATATGGCTCTTCATATAACTGTTCCAGCAAATACAGCTCAGTTTTGATCTATTAGACATCTCTACCACAGGATAGTGAATATCACGGTGTTCATTTACAATCATATTATACTCAAACACTTTTATCTTCTTATTTACACCAGCAGTTGCAAAAAACTCTCTATCCCGGTCAAACCCTACGGAGCATACTAAGTTTGACGAGTTCAGCAAATCACAATGCTTCAGTTCTGCCCGAACTTTCAACTTACTGAATGACAAGTACTTGCACAACCCCTCAAGAAAAGAGTTTTGCCTTCTACCATATTGCCTTTCCAAAGAAAAATCATCTATTGAACTTCCTTCAGTCCCAATAGCTGAACCAGTAGCCCTCTTAACAACTTGATGACTACTTATTTGGTTGCCAACTTGCTTCGCCAACTTGGACCTTGTTAGAAAATAAGCTGTTTCAAGTTTTTTTAAGTTCTTCATCAACCTGGAGCTTTTTGACAGAACACTTTCCTGGATTAACTCAGAGGATGGCACTGTTCTTGAACATTCTTCCACACTACGATTATTTTCCTCCATGTCAACACCTTGCAGCTCAGGTCTGAATCGCTTCCTGGATCCGCAATCACTCTGATCTTCAACAGTTCCAGAGCACACCTCTTTATCCAAATCGTATGAGAAGTTCACACAGTGGCCAAGTGCAGATTGCTGGTGGAGTACCTCATTGATGTCAGAAGAGAGGAAAGCAACAGTGTCCTGCAAACTGTCTGCTATATCCTGCTTTCTTTTCTGCAACTGCTGAAGAAAATCCAGCAATAATTCTTGTTCTTCTATCTCTTCGCGTAACCTAAGTGCCGCTTCACGCTCTTCCAGGCTATTCCTTGACTGATTAAGGAACTCACTCTGCAACACCTCACTGTCAAACAAAAAGAAACAAAAAAGAAAAATGGGCAGAAGGTCAATGTGGCACAATCTCATTGGATAATACAAAGATAATATGCAGATACATATCTTATTTAATTTTCTGAAATAATTATGTCAAGGGCAAGCATATGACCAACTAGCAATTGAGGTAGCAAGAAGGCAATGAATAAAAAAAATGTTAACCTCAACTGAAATCCAGCAATGATCTATTGTCCAAACAGAAGTCTCTAGACAAAGATAAAGATCCACTGAGGAACTCCTAAAACGAAAAGAAGTGTGCTGGCACTCCCATCAGTTGCAATACAGCCACATTTTTCTTTTGAAGATTTGAAATAAACAGGAACTATGAATAGTATCAAAACCGAAACAGTATAGGATAAATGATATGTCTGACTTTCACAAATTGGCAGAATTGTCCTGCAAGTGCATGGTATGATGGTTTGTTATAACTTTTTGATTGTTTGCTGCACTTTTTCCACATAAAATTAAGGCTAGAACAAGAGTATCAAATCTAGAATTTGTGGAGCATTGTTAATTGTTAATAAATTAAATTCTATTTTTCAAATTGCTGATAATAATTCTAGTGTCTGCTACTGCCTCATGAATATTGGTTTTCCTCTCTTGCTGCAAAATTTAGCCAATTTTCCAGGCAAGCTTGATCTTCAAACAACTCCATGCTCATGTTTATCAAACCCACGTTCTTTCTCTTATAAAGTGTACAACCACAGCACAAACAAATGCAGTTCCCAGCTTCGAGGAGAAGCATTACTAATATATGCATAAAGGACTTCATGCTACCTAGGCCTTGTTCACTTTGCAAATTTTTTCAACCCGATGAATAGTACCACTTTCGTCTTATTTGACAAATATTGTCCAATCGTAGACCAACTAGGCTCAAAAGATTCATCTCGTGATTTCCAACTAAACTGTGTAATTATTTTTTTTTTACCTACATTTAATACTCCATGCAAGCGGCTAAAAATTGATATAATGGAGAGAGAGTGAAAAAACTTTGGAATTTGGATGGCATCTAAACAAGGCCCTAATGTGAAACAAGATGCTCATGCAACCTTTCTCCTGGGGTAACACACTCGAACATAGTACACGACAAGCAACGCACCTCATCTTCGGTCTGGTTTCTGGCACAGGGTGCATTAGCAACTGGCAGAAGGATGCTTCCTTGGGCCATTTGAGCAGCAACTGTGGTGGCAACACCCGGTGCCGCAGATTCGCCATTGCCCGCATCTTGTCTTCCATGGTTTCGAATGTACAGAACAGCTGCAGTCCGCGAAGCAAACACAAGCGATGTCAAGACGTGCCGCAAAACAGAAGTATAATATTGATGTGATGAAGCAAACGCACCTCGAACAAGAGCACACCCAGTCTGTAGACGTCAGAGGCGAAGGTAGCGGCGCTGTCGTCCGCCTCCTCGGGGCTGGTGTACCAGTTGAGCTCCATGGCCAGCACGCTCTTGAGCGGGAACGACTTCCCGGCGCGTTCCTCACCACGGCCGGCGCCGTCGCGTCGCCGCGGAGGCGAGGCGTCCGGGTCGGCGTCCTCAGAGGCATCAGAGCCCGAGCACGAACCCGAGGCGTCGGAGCCGGAGGCGGACTCGATGAAGGCGACGCGCGCGAAGGGCGGCGACACGACGAAGCACGACGGTCGCGCGCTGCCCACGGCCACCCCCTGCGCGTGCGCGACGGCCACCGCCTCCGCCACCTGCCTGAACACGTGCACGCACTCCGCCGCCTCCACCGCCCGGCCCGCCCGGTCCAGCCACTCCCGCATGCTCACCTCGCCCCCGTCCTCCGCTCGTCTCCCTTCCTCCGCCGCATCGCCCTCCGCCTCCGCCTCCGCGTCCCCCCACCGCCGCCCGCCGCCAGCAGCGCCACGGGACGGCTCCATACCACACACACCACCCCCTCCACTCTACCCCATGACCGGGATCACCTCCGATTCGCCGCGCCCCGCACCTCCACGCACTGCTCCGCCAGACCCATCTTCTAAAGCAGTAAGGACAGCTCCAAACTCCAAGCTCCGAACGGCCTCGATGCGGCGAAGGCGATAAGGATCTGAACCAGCAGCAAGCAGCCACCTGAGCCCGCCGAAGAAACGCGACGTGGGAGGAGCAGTGACCAGGTGAGAGGAGTGGAGCAGAGGCGAGCAGCGAGCCACACAAAGCCGCTTTATAAATCGGGGCTCTCTCGTCTGCTACCGCTTTAATTCCGTCGCCTCGGTAGCCGCCTCCCAGCCGCACAACGCCCGCGACCCTTACCCCACGAACACCTCGCCCTAGCCCCAGTTCGGAGCGGCAGCCAGCGGCACAGCGACCAGACCAGTCCATCTCCCTCGCCCCCGAACTGCTACAGGACCAGTAGACACCAAACCTGACCGCGGAGATGAAACGGCGACGACGCTGTCTTGACTTGACGCCCACAGAACACCCCCACCACTGGCTGCCGCGCCGCGGAGGTGGAAGAAAACGGAGCCGGCCAAGCCCAGGAAGAACAACAACTCGAGCGCCGCACGCGCCCCTACTCCTCGAGCTCTCCCCCGGTCTACTGATACGGAGTACTTCCCCGGCGATTCCCAAAGAGATTTGCCTCGAGCACGAGATCAAGATCAGAAACTATCATATCATTTAAAAATCCCGAAAAAGCGCCGCTTGTGACGTGGCGCTATTAATAATGGAAACCGCGGGGACCACGCAAAAGACGGAAGCCGTCAATCCACGCGGCCTGTGCTGTTGCTGTCTCATGACAGCCGGGCCGGTGACCCCCGCGTGGCCCAGCGACCGGTGACTACCGCCTGGCTCGGCTCGCGTGACAAACCGCCTGCCACGAAGTGGATCAAAAGGGCGCTTGTTTTCCAAAAGCGCGCACCTGGGCTTGATGATAATTAAAAGCGCCACGTAGCCGTACCGGGCCCACCCGTCGGCCTGCAACAGGAGCATCATCGCATGGGCCGCCCGACCGGGGACTGAAGAGCGGACGCGAAGCAGTTTGATCCAATGGGTGGTGGCCCATCGCTGTCCGGGGGTCCGCCTTATATATTCCGCCGAGGAGCCCAACCGTCAGAGGGTAGGCACCTGGGCGTTGGGCGAGGGCCAGGTGCGGTCGCGGCGGACGTTGCGCGACGACGGCCGCACGCCCGTGGTGCGTTGGGACTGGACTCGAGGCGCCCCAGCACGGGCCACGTCGCCGCGCACCGGCTTCGCGCAGCCGGAACCGCCAAAGGGGTTCGGGGTTAGACTAGTTTAATCGCGATCCGGGGATTAGACTAATCCGGATCTGGGGCCGAGAGCGGTGTCCGGGAAGTGGTAATACATCTGTTTCCCTTTTGATCCGTTTTCAGCTGGAGTGGGCGGGCGGCACGAGTCTCTGTGCACTCGCACTCGCACGCCGGGGCGGGCGGACCTCTTGTTCGGGACAGGCCGGGCCGGACTCCCACGACCCATGTGAACCGCACGGGGTGAAGGTCACAGTCACAGGGAACGCGGTACGGACTGGCGTTCCACGTCCCGGGATCGTCCGTTCCGGATCGGGGTCGGGGACGTCGCGGAACGCATGCAGGATCGATGCTTGGTACGTCAGTTGGGACGCCGTCCCGATGGCCGCTGGGTCGTTGAGAACGATCGATACCCTAGAAGATGGCTAGCTGAATTAAATGGGCCTGAAGAGCAGTGCTAAATGGCTAGCCTGAAAGTCCGATAGCCCAATAATCACCCGTAAGGCTAACTACTGTACGCATGTATGTTCTCCATGTAATTAAAAAAGTATTTTAGTCAATGTTTATGCAGATATGCAATCTTACGTGAGCAATTTTGTTATGATGAGGAGAATATTTACACTTCCTTCTATTAAAATTGACGTATTTCATAGTTAAGTTCCGGGTACGTCGTCCCAATTATTTAGGAATCATGGTCCCATCCTCGAACCAAACGAGGAAGTATACCCTACGAACGAGAAACTTAAAATTATCGATCCATGTTCCTACGTACCAGAAACTTGTGACTATGGTGACGGTTCCACCGGCTACACAAGTGGGCTTGTTTGGATGGTATTAAAGCCGACTGAAGCTGTTTTGTTACGAGAGAAAAATACTGTAGATTCTAATTAATAAGCCGACTGATAAGTTCAAACGAACAGACCCACGCAACAAGAAAAGGAACGGATGCGACACTGTGCACTGTGCATTTCTATTTTATATACGGCGCGCGTAACGTAACCTGTGACCGGTGGATCAGTGGATTTATTTTTTCGGATGTAGCGAGAGCGGCGAGATCCGGTCCCGGGAAGCCCGACCACTCCTCCCTTGCGATTGCGAGGAGATCCCGGCGCGGCTCTTGTGCTCCGGCGAGGTATCGACGGTTCCTCCCCGGCTCCCAGCGTTAAGCCCTCAAGGTCCCCAACTAGGATTTGATTAAGAACAAATTGGGGAACTAAACAAGGATTCCTTGAGAGAGGGAGATTGAAACGTGCCGAGATCAACATCGACACTTGAATCAAGGACCCTGATAACGCGCGACTGGTTACGCTACCCAGCTTCGTGTCGTCTTCCTGCCCCACCCCGCCGTCCTCGCGCCCTTCCTGCCCCACCCCGCCTTTCTCACCCGCCACGTCCGGTTGTGCCACCCCCCACCGCCCATCGACCCCGCCCTCCCCTGAAGACAGGGAAGCTCGCCGGCGCCATCCTCGTCCTCGCGCCCACCCTTTGACCCTACCGACCCTAATCCCAGGGCAAGACGTCGACGAGCTCCGCCACGATGCCCCCGCCGCTAGCCCCGCCCAACCACCTTCTCCCGCCGCCGTCTCACCCGCCCCCACTGGCGTGTCGCGGCTGCCGCCTACAAACCCCATTCTAAGGCCCCTAGGGAATAGATCTGCTTACCTAACGTCTACGAACTCCTCGTCTCCGACGCCGGCGAGCTTCTCACTGGAAGCCTAGCCGCCGTCTTCTTCTTCATCTCCGGTAGGATGCGATCACGGGCGGGTGTCACGCGCTCGGCTCCAAGCGCGACGGGTCGCGTAAAAGAAATTCCGTTCAATCAATGGGAGATACAGCTGGGTACCAAGACCATCCGCTAATGAATTAGGAAAAATATCCTATGGTGGCCCATTAAATAAAAACATTATTAAATGGCCTGCAGCTTCAAGCATCCACTAATGATTTCGAAAATATCTTAAGGAAAAGAAAAAAAAACAGTGCTATGCGCTATATATAAAGATAACTATATACCGATGATGTTGCTTTTAGAGAAAAAAAAACTACCGATGATGCACATTATGAAGTACACACTATAAGAACCAGAGATTAACGGCACGCGTTTCAAAATAAATTAATGAAAACTATACATGACCATTGACAAAATAAATTGTTTAATTTTTCTACCGATAATGTAAATTTATTATTATATTCAATACAGTCATAAAGACGAAAACAACAAAAAGAAAAGTAAACAGAAGTATTTTTTAAACAAAAGAAGGCCCGAACCCCGAACTATTATGGCAAAAAGGAGAACATATATGCAAGTCTAAAACCTTTGGAAAAAGAGAATCCAAATAAACATTGGATCTATGGTCGTACATGAGTAATCTGGCAAATGATCATTACGGCAAAAAGGCAACTATTGATCCACGCAAGAAAAGGTATAAGATGATTCAAAATTTAATACCGGAAGATCTTTGTGAGAGACATGCAGTAGAGACTCATGAAGAGCGGACAAATACAACAAACAAAAGATAAACTATTTGCAAAAATTCAAATGAACAATCTCAAATGTTACCATGTTAAAAAAAAAAAAACTAGCTACCTGCACTATTTACGCGCATCACTTTGATAGTATTTATAATTTAAACTGGTATTTTCCTAAGACTTTTCCAATAACACTTTAACCATATATTCTTGTCCGTCTATGACAACCCATAGAGAAATCCTTTACACAGGATTCAATTTATCTAGGATGCATTTATCATATAAAGAATTTCATAAACAACATATACGCTTACATGTCAGTGTCAGTAATGCCGTCTTTGTGCAATGGTCTTTGTGCAATGGTCGACCGGGTGATGATCTTGATGGCAGGATAGATTTACTCACTCACTTTATATTTGAAGAAACAGATGCAACAGTGGGTTGGCATAAACAGGGTTATTGCAATTTAGTTGAGACCAAGTTTGGTGATACTGTACCCACTTGCAGTCCAGTAACAATTCATAAACAACATATACGCTTACATGTCAGTATGAGTAATGCCATCTTTGTGCAATGGTCGGCCAGGTGATGATCTTGATGCCAGGATAGATTTACTAACTCACTTTATATTTGAAGAAACAGAAGCGACAGTGGGTTGGCATAAACAGGGTTATTGCAATTTTGATGAGACCAAGTTTGGAGATACTGTACTCACTTGCAGTCCGGTAACAAGTATAAACATTCAATCAATTCACTAATCTTGAGGGTTTTGCCTCCCTGCTGAGAGTGAAATAATGCATTGTTGGACCATCTCTTGGACTCTTCTCTTCAGAAGCTTGTCTTTCACGCCAGAAAGCATGCTGCGGTAGAAGATCTCCAAACGATTAAGTTCATCAGTGTCTGCTGCATCCAAAATGTTCTCAAATTCCTTTCTGATATCAAAGACAGAAGATTCCTGAAGTGAACGTGGTAGCGCCCGTTCATCAAGTGGCTTACGGAAGATTGAGATGTGGAGTATATTGGCATATCTCTCCATCAGTGTCAGTTTTGACCTTAGGAATTGTAACTCCTCTGAGGCAGCAGATAGCTTCTGATTCAACTCAGTGCTAGTGCGATCATTCCCTCTTGATGTTGATCCTCCCGCTTGGTCCTCATGGATCTCTTGGAAGTTCTCATCAAGAGGAGGCCACATCACAACGCATGGTATGTAACTGTCAGCAGTCTGGCCTCTCCCAAGCACACCACTGCGGCCTCTGCCCCATGCCCACATCCTATACCCATCACCAGCAACAAGAACAGTGTGTGCAGCTCCACAGGTGATCTGCACTGGACCAAGAAACTTGAACCCATTTGTCTCAGGAGACTGAATCCTTATTGGATATAAAGCATCCCCTTCATCAACTCCCGAAAAGCTAGCATCTGGGCACAGTCCAAGACCTCTCTCCATTCCCCAGCACCACACCTCTCCAGCAGAGGAGACTACGGTTGTGTGGAACAATCCACAGTCAAGAGAAATAAGGAAGGATCCGGTTGGTAGTCCATCGACAGGCTGTGGTGAGCAAATGGAGACTGTGGTTCCATGGCCAAGCTGCCCCTTGTCACCAAGGCCAAATGTCCAGCACCGAGATTCTATCTGGTCAGAAGACTTCTTATTGGCGAGGACTGCAGTGTGGGAAGCCCCGCATGCAATTTCATACACCTCCCAAGATCCTTCGCTAAATGCTGAGATAAGCACAGGACGGGATCTACTTTCCTTGTCACCTAGACCCAACTGACCATGGTTGTTATTTCCCCAAGCATAACAAACAAGGTCACCTTCAGTATAGGTCTCGCCAACACTAACTGCAGCTACTACATGCTCATTACCACAGGCAACCTTAACAACAGTGTGTCCATGGAAATCCCACATAGGTAGTGGGATAGAGCTACTCGCAATACAAAACTCTCCAGCATCAGTCTGCTGTGGGCAACTTCCCCACATCCAAAGGCCCCCCAAACTGTCTATGGCAAATGACATCATGCCACCTGCTTTGACAGAGGACAGCTGTAACAAAACATACATCACGGTTATCAAAATAGAAAGCCAAACTTTCTTAACGATCTTAAAGCTTATATAGTTTGGGAATTATCGAAACTGATGGTACGCCCATACCTTTAAACAAGTCCTATCACGTGTGTTCTGGTCTTCATCATTCAGTGTTTCAGGAGAACCTAGATCCTGAAATTGCTCAACCAAACATGGAAAAAGGGAATTCTGATCCCCATAGCCAAGTTGACCATCTGTTAAATAGTCAAGGAAGTGAAGTACATCCGACAATGGCAGGCATATCAACAACAACAACAATAACATAGCCTTTCAGTCCCAAGCAAGTTGGGGTAGGCTAGAGTTGAAACCCACCGAGAGCCCCAAGTCACGAATGGCAGCATATCAATTGAGAGATTTGCAGCTAACAATTTAAAAAAAAAAATAAGTCAAGAGCTGTAAAGGATACAGAGATTGTAACCCCATGACCAGAGTGAACCTTCATCTGTCACATTGAACTTATTCAGCAATAAGTATGGAACCCATTTCACATGTATGCTGAGGATCGTGTTAAATTGCTTTTGGCACAAAAAATGCAGCGACAAAACATTTTGCACATTATGGAATTAAGGCCCCGTTTGGCAGGGCTTCTCCACCGGTTTCAGTAGCTGTTTTCTACCAAACGGGGTAAAACAAAACGGCTTCACCGATGAAGCCCCTAAAAACATGCTCTCACAGATGTTTTGGGAAGGATGGAGCCAAAAATAGTGGCTTCACCCGGCTTCACCTTGTCCACGTGGACTCCAAAAGGAGACAAACCTGTTTCATCTACTATGAGGAGCTATTTTGTCAAACGGGTCATCAAAACGGCTCCAGCTCCACCGGTGGAGCCGTTCGTGGAGCTGAAAAAAAAAAAAAATGGAAGTGAAGCCTTGCCAAGCCTTGCCAAACGGGGATACTCACAGCAAATGCAAAACGTAAAGTTATATTCATACCAAAACCTAGATAATCTACGGATTTTTCTCTGTAGTGGCCAGTGTGACATTGTGGATTCAGCCATTTAATGCAGACTCGGTCAGACTAATAGCAGGAAGTCCTAAAAGACGAGGTACAGAAAATTTCAAGGCAAAGATATTGAATGGCATGTGCAGGAAAATCAAAGTGCCAGTCGGCAGCCGCAAAGTTACCCTTCAAACCCACTCCTACGGGCTGGTCAGACTACTGTAACTACTCGGGTAGTTCTAAAGTTCTAGAATAGCTTATAATTTGGATCACACAACCGCTTCACCACGAACATAAGCAGAGAGCGGATGGGGTAACAGAGCACGAACCGTCCAGCGCAAGGCTATGGTAGGCACCAGCGGCGACGGCGACGAACCTGGGCCGCGGTGTCCAGCCGGCAGAGACCGCGGGCGCCACCGCGGTGGGGACCAGCTCGTCGTCCTCGCGGCCGGTCCCGAGGCGACCGAAGGGCCCCCTACCCCAGGAGTACACCTGCCCGTCACCTGCAATTAGAAGCCACGAAATCTCTCATCAGATTACTGAATAATGAAGTCCGGCGAGGGGGCCGGAGAATTCGCGCGAGCAAGCCGAGAGTCGCTCACCCGAGAGGGCGAGTGTGTGGGCCTCGCCCGCGGCGACGGCGACCACCTTGGGCGGCATCTGCCGGCGGCGGTGGGAGTGGGTGGGGAATGGGGAGGATGGGGAGGGGAGCGAGAGCGAGGACGCGGGCATCACACAATTCACAAGTGGAGGCACCGCATTACCGCGAGCGGCGGGCGGCGAGCTGGGTTAAAGGTTGCCGCGCCGGTAGGAATTCAGGCAAAGGAGAGGCGCTGAGGACTCCAGTGAGTCGGACGGACAGCAAGGCAACGGCAAATCGGAAAGTCACCGCTGAGCGAGACCCGATCACTTAGCACCGATTTTTCCGAGGTCGCCGGCGTAAACTATATAGGGGATGAGATGAGATCGAGGCGTCTTCCGATACGTCCACGACTGGGTTTGTACGTGTCGCGCGTTGCGTCGCTGCGGACGGCCTGCCCAGAGCCCGTGACATATTCGCCGCACGGGACTCAACTGCATCTTTAGACCGCGACACTGCACAGCACATCAACATCCAGATCATTCTAATCTGTACAAACAGGCAGCACGTAGTAATTGCCCTGTTCGCTCGGCTAGCCATGGCTGGATGTTGGCTGATTTATCGTAAAAGAAAAATATTATTCGTTGACTGAAAAAATATGGTTTATAAGTCAAGTAAACAGGATGAATATTTCATCGCCTTAAACATTTTTTGAGCTCAGTTGATAGCTATGTTACAGGTACACGTACAGCACTTGTCTCGCAGGATTGCCAAGTGCTAACCCCGATACAACATTGAGGTGATGCGGCGCATCAGCATCCAGGTGACCGTGGAGAGTATGGGTTCAGTTGATGAGGAAATTTCTTATTTGGCCCTGGATGAAACTTGCCTTTCTTTTTTTTTTATCATAAAACAATTTTTTTTTTCTATTTAGCTTCACTTGAACTTTTGATTTCTAATCTGGCCTTATCGTCACCTCCGTCCAAGTTGATCAAGATTGACTTGTCAGGTTTTTGTTAAATTGATAGAAATGTCCCTGGGATATTACAGGGCCCAAGGAGTCAGGCATGTCTCTTCTTCGTGTCATCTCCTCCATCTATCCTGTCTCCCTCCCACTCTCCCTTCTCAACCCTAGCGGCGGCGGCGGTGGCTTGGCGCGCGGCGGGGCGGCAGGCCGAGCAGCGCAGCCAGGGCACAAGGCGGCGTGGCACGACCTGGGGGCGGTGCGGCCTGGGCGCTAGTCGGCAGCCTGAGCAGCGCATGCTGGGCACTAGGGGGTGCCAGCTCGTGCTGAATGGAGGCCAACAGCAATCGCGTGCGGGGATCTTTCTGGATTTCTTGAACACATCGCCAATGACAAATCAACAAATGGAAAAGCAAAATAGGCAGGCGCGGCGGCAGGTGTGATTTCTCGGGGGCCAAGGGCGGCACACGGCAGGTGGCGGCGCACGGCTTTGCCAGGGCACGGGCGGCAGACGGTGAGGCACTTACGGGGCCGCGGGCGGTGGCGGACGCTAGGCTTTGTGGGAGGCGCGGCTTTGCCAGGGGCCGTGTGCGGCAAGCAGTGGTGGTGGAGTCCAAACCGAGCGGAGCTCATGTTTTTTTTGGTGATGGTTGTGGAAGGAAAGCGTGTTGCTTTTTTTCCATGGCCCTGGAACCGATGCTGGCATTGTGATGCAAACGCTACTATAAACAACTTAGAGCAGGCAAATTAGCATGGAACAATCAAACACCAAACCCCACAAATGCTCTTTGGTTCCTCATAATATCTGAGGGGTTTGGTCATTTCATGTACCACTTAACGCCGTTAGAGGCCGCAGCTGACGGTAAGGGTAGATTAAAAATTAAAAGTTCAAGTAAGGCCAAATAGGTAAGAAAATTTGTTCTGTGACCCAGAAAGAAAAGCAAGTTTCAGTCAGGTCAAATAAGAAATTCTCTCTCAGTTGATTTACAGACACAGGTACATCCGCGCAGCGCTCGAGTACAGTAGTAGCACAGTGCCGTCACTCGGATCACACCTCTCACGGACTTGACAACCAGATAACATCGATTACGGCGGAAGTCGCGAGGAAGACGCAGCTGAGGAAGGCACACGCGATGGAGACCGCCGAGAGGTCGCAGAAACGTGGCAGGGGCTTGCAGAAGTTGGGGAGGGCCGTGTGCCGGATGCCGGTGCGGTTCAAATTGGCCACCGCCGCCGCCGCTGATCCAGCGCTAATCATTGCAAGCGAAAACACCTGTCATGTTGGCACCACATAGCTGTTATCCTTGTATATTCCATGGAAATGCTGACGATTCATAGGGCTCCAAATGTTCAGGTTCTATTCGCTGAGGTAAAGAAAGTTATCGCTTCGTAGCGATACAACTAACGAGGTTAGATTATGCTAACATCTTGGAAGATAGGTTGGCCTGGGCTCGATTGGTCAAAAAGGCAAGGATGAGCCGATGAACAACGCTTTGAAAGCAAATAAAAGCTAAGGACAAGCATCGTAAATAAAACTAAAATCAAGTCTTAGTCTCCAGGATTCTTATATGGATGCTGGATTATATGTTTGTTGTGTTACCTGGGCTACTTTCAGATATCCTATCCAGAACCGCTTTAATGTTCTGACCACGGTACACAAATATGCAGCACACTTCTGAGGCATTTTCTAATTGGAGACGTCACATGGAAAGTTCATGTTGTTTGTGTGATACACTGTTGGAAAGCTCCACCTGATGACTTGAATAAAATGTTCTTAAGCTCATAATACTATGGAAATCTGGAAACCTCCATCTTACGGATATAGAAGGGTTCAGTAGATTCATCAGACAGGTAGAGACAGAATTGGATAAAATCTGGGCGACTGGGCTTTAGAAGATATAAGAATACTGCTTATTTCCATGCAGTAGCCAAGCAAAGGAGTGGAAAAAAGAAAGTAGAGGTTCTGGAGGGCACTAATGATCCAGTTGAGAACCAAAAAGGCATGATGGATGTTGATGTTAGTTTCTACTATAAGGATCTTTTTTTTTTGGATCTGTTAGAAAGGAAGATAGTCCTAACATCCACCTAGCTCAGGATTTTTGGGAGCACGAGGAAATAGTTACAGAGGAGGAAAATGCTCTTCTTACTGCTTCCGTTTCTGAGAGTGAAATTAAGGAGGCAGTGTTCAGTTGTTAGTTGTGACACTGATGCGTTCCCGGACCTGCTGGAGTATCCTTCATGTTTTATCATAAGTTTTAGATCATAGTAAAGGGTGATCTTATAGCTATGTTTGAGGATTTCTACAAAGGTAAGTTAGATCTATATAGACTCAACTTTGCTATGGTTACCTTAAATTCCAAAGGAGGAAGGTGCAAGAACCATGCAAAGTTTAGACCAATTAATCTAATTAATTGTAGATTTAAAATTTTCTCTTAGTCTCTAACTCTAAGATTAGGTAAAATAGTTGGTAGGTTGATTTCACCTCACCAAAGTGCCTTTATATAGGGTAGATGTATTCTTGAGAGTGTCGTCATAGCCCATGAATTGGTGCATAGCTTACACAGCAGCAAAGAGCTGGGTATAGTTCTTAAGTTAGACTATAAAATGCTTATGATAGAGTCTGTTCGGACTTGGGACTTCCTTTTTGAAAGCTTAGAGACTAGAGGTTTTATCCCATCTGGCCAACTTGGATTAATTGAATAGAGAACTTAGTCAAAAAAGGCTATGTGGGAGCTCTTAAGTTTATGGAATGACAATATGGGAGCACACATGTATCATTTAGCTAATTGGGAAAAGAGTTAGTGTGTTAACAAAATTTGGAGGATTAGGCATTCCCAATTTGAGAGATCTTAACGTTTGCTTGTTAGCTAGAAGCTGAAACAAACAACCTAGCTGTTGAACTATCTTTTGAAAAAACTAGAAAGCTGATTTTTTAGAAAATAAACTAAAAGTTGAAAAGCACGCTCAGAAAAAATTTCCTGACATTTAGTGTGTTGAGAAACCCAAAAAAAAATATTGCAAAGTCAATAGCAAAAAGTCAAAAGGCCAAAAGTTGCAGCTCAAAGAAATGGACCCTAAATTGTTCTAGTCATTTTCCAACAAGATCTTGGTCTAACTAATCTAAACTCGAAGTTGAACTAACTCAACTAATGCTACCTACGCTGGCAATGGCTGATGACCCGTCCATTAAACATCTAGAGAAAGCACAAAATACACGATGCAGCCACAACAAACAAGACGGAATATAGTACAAAACAACAAATACTAGAAGTATAGTGACGGAAAAAACACGATAATTAGATGGACGTCGCAAAATCACATAAAAATCACATAGAACTGGCAAACCTGATCCCCGGCAAAGAGCAGCCATGCGTGGCGTCCAGAAGGAACAATGGGGGCTTTCTTCATGACCTTGTGTGCAATCAAGAGGAGTTGTGCCAGCGAGTAGGCAGCTGAAGCTGCAGACAACGCAACCAAGAATCTAAAATCATGAACAGCACCACCGGAGCAAGTCAGTATTTTCTCTAAGCATAAGTACACATTTCAACTTCAAACGGCGCAAAAACTTACTGCAGTGAATAAGAAAAGGACCAATTGGCATAGAGCGGGATCTCGATGCCAAAGATGGTGAGAATGCCTCCCTGCTTGGAGGAGACCATTAGCGACATCGAGAGCAGTGCCATCACCATGGCTGCAGCTCGGGTTGCCACCATAACCACGCCCAGCCGTGGCCATCTTGGCACCCGAGATGTGGTCACCGGAAGAGCCTCAGGCTCCAGCACCATCTTGCCCCCCGCCGGTGGCATCTGGATGCCGACCACCGAGTCACTTCGGCCATTACCAATGGAACCCATCGGTGGTGCTCCTGGCTGTGGTTTGGTGTTTTACTAGTCTAGGCAGCCATTGGTGTTTGGGAGAATTCTTCTTGGTGCTGAAATTTTTTTCGTTCCGATATTCACTTTAACTTTCATCCCTAATCTGACACTACCGTTAAATTCGTTAGCTAACGGTGTTAACTGGCTGTTAAAAAGATGTTTTTGCCCCTAGAAAAAAAAGCGGCGAAGCAAATTTGAGAGAAAAAAAAAACCTGCGCCGCCTCTGATGCATGCGTCCAGCTGAAAAAAAAGGCGCACGTTTTTTTTCCTCTCAAATTTGCTTCGCCGCTTTTTTTCTAGGGGCAAAAACATCTTTTTAACAGTCAGTTAACACCGTTAGCTAACGGATTTGACGGCAGTGTCAAATTAGGGATGAAAGTTGAAGTGAGTGTCAAATAAGGAACGAAGAAAATTTCAGGGCCAAAAAAGGAACGACTCATTTTCCCAGTGTCAAATAAGGAATTCTCTCTTGGTGTTTTACTAGCCTTTTTCCCGTAGCGTTTGGTTGAGAGATACGAAGCGGGGTGGTCCTGTTTTGTGGGACGGGATAAGTTCATTTTTTTTTTGGAAAGAATAAAACCGACTCATTTTTTGTGTGGTTGAGAGACAATAAAAATGGGATGACATATGAGGCCCACCTGTCAGTTTCTTTTTCTTTTTCCTTCTTCTCCCTTATCTCCATCGTCCCCAACCGCACAGAGACAGAGGTCGCGTGAGCTTGACGGGACGAAGCTCCTGCCTCCTAGCGCTCGGCCCGCCCGCGCGCAGCACTTCGCGCTGCTACCGCCGCCGCCCGCGCCCGAGCCTCGCGCCGCTGATGCCGCTCGCGCGAAACCCTCGCGCCGCCGCCTTCCGGCGACCGGATCCCTCGCCCATGGCCGCGACTGGAGCCCCGCCGCCCTCTTCTTCAGCACCGGTGGCCGCTCCCGTGGAAACCCTCGACCTCTTCTTCAGCACCGGCGGGGCCATAACTCGCCCGCGCGGCCGCGAGGCCGGAGCTCACCCGCGCAGCGGCGGCGGCGCCTGAGGCTGGCCACGGCCGGACCTTGCCCCTCCTCCTCTCTTCTTCCACGCCGGCCAGCGAGCGCATCGTCCCACTTGGGACGCTCCCCGTCCGAGAAATCTGAGGGGACGGAGTGAACCCAAATCTCATGCGAATATTCCCGAGTGGGACGTCCTCGCTCCTGGGAGACTCCCAACCAAACATCAGTTGTCCCAGGATCGTCCCGTTCCATCCCGCCTCGTTCCTCCATCCAATCATAGCATGTTGTGGCAACTATGTGATGCACCCGTGACTCCGTGAGTCCTTTCTGCACTTGCTGTTTGACAGTATTTGGAGACCAGACATGGAGACAAAAACAGCGCAGCTTTCGAGTACAGTAGCAACGGGATTTAGCAGATTGCGGCAGTAATTGACACGAGTCATGTGGAAGAACGCTAACTACGGCGCTGCATACTATAAGAATCTTATTTGAAAACTGGTCACTTCATAATCCTGTGTACATACTTGCAATACTTTGCAGTCAGCAGGTACCGAGTTTTCTCGGGTGTGCCCCACCGCCCTACCAATATAATACCAACCAATGAAAGACCCAAGAAGCATACAAATTTTTCATTATGGATCTGATAATTGAAATTTAGCATTTCTCAGAGTCAAGCTCAATTGCGTACAAGTAATTTAACAGATGAGAACATATCTCTAGATGGTAACCTAGCTCGAGCAAGTAATGGGAAAATATTGAAGTTTAATAATGGCATAGCACTTATAACAAATATCTTTTTTCCTCCAATACACAGGAGAGTTACATATTATTGTGTTAAGAATAAAAAAAATACCTGTCTGATTACTAGATGTTCAACGATCCTGTCAGTTTTTGGTTTACATGGGCTCCAAAAGAATGAAGGCAAATGCTGCTCACTTAAATACACAGGAGTGACACCTTGTTCGCTTGATCGTTTCTGTGGCTTATAAGCCGGCTGATGCTGTTTTGTTGTGAGAGAAAAAACATTGTATCATGGCTGATAAGCATGGATGATACGATCAAACGAACAGGGTGCATTTTTTATGCTTGATCAGACAACAACCATTTTTTATTTATCCGATCAATTATACCTGTTGTTGGCTGACAACAATAGACACGGACACGTGATCAGAAGGCAAACAAGGTGAATTTGGTTCTTTCTTGAAAAAGTAATGATCTGTGACGTATGTATTGCAAAAGAAATAAAAGAGAGCAGAGAATAAACCTTAGATGATGATCACTTTTTGAGCTACAGACTGCAGCTACCAGCTAGGAGGCTTTGTGACTTTTCTCTCAGACACGATCTTCCTCACCCTACATCCCGACACATATATGTTCGACAACACCACATAAACCCCGTTGTTCCATGGCTCAGACTCTACAAGCCTTCCTACTACCCACTCACCAACACTTGCATTACCATGTTTTTTGCATGCACCGAGCATTGTTCCTCAATCTCCTATCACCACATTGGCCTCCATTGGCATACTCTGCTCCACCAATTCACCAAAGCACCTGCCTCATCCTGTCATCCACATGGCCAACTCTATCAAGCATATTCACCACCACCACATACTGGTAGTGTTCAGCGGTTGGCACTACCATGATTTTTCGTTCTTCCATTTGCTTCAGCAAACCCAACTGTATACCCACCAGCCAAGCAGAGAGCACGGCTAACATCATCACCCTATTTGGTTGTATCGTTTCTCTCTGCAAATCATGAAACTTGTTGGGTGCACCCTGATCCTCGCCATGCGTTGCAAGCCCTGTGATCATGGTTGTCCATGAAGACACATCGCTGACAGGCATTCTCTCAAATACCACTGTTGTGAGGACCGTGCGGCCACACTTGGCATACATATCGGACCAATGCATTGGGCAGTGTCACATCAAGCTGGCCAGAGCGCTAGAACTGTAAGACGCACTTGTGCATCTGCTCCGACAAGCCAACATCACCAAATACAAAGCATGCCGACACAAAACTCACCATGGTCAGATGATCCGGTGCCATGCCGTGCCTCCACAGCTCATGAAACAACGTCAACGCCTCCTTGGACTCGCCGGCTTGCGAGAAGCCGCTTATGAAGGCGTTCCACGAACCTAGGGCCCGGTTCGGGTTTTCGTCGAACACCCTGCGCGTCAAGGTCGCCAGCCTTCGCGTAGCCGCTGATGAGCGCGCTCTCGGTGAAGAAGGTCTGGCGTGCGAGGCCGCGCTTGGCAGAGGCGGCGTGGAGCTACAGGCGTAGGGTGGAACCGGGGGTTCGGCTTTGGTCGCGGCCTTGAGGGCGGGAACGTGTAGCGGTCGGGTGCGGCTATCATGCACAAAGCACGCGGCGGATCGAAGCGGGGCGAGCCGAGGCGGAGGCGGAGGTAGGCACGGGTCACGGGCTCGCGACATTCCAGTGGAAGGGCAGAGGGAGGAGGCCACGGCGCAGGATGCACACGTGGATTCGCGGCGGGAGGATCATGTCGGTGCAGCCGTGCAGGAGTCGAGCCGGACCGCGGCAAGGTCGGCGAAGCGGGGAAGCAGGAGGGGACCGCGATGCGTGGAGTCGCGCGGGCGGGAAGAGACGGGTGCGTGGCGCCGGCGGGCATAGCACAGTACGTACCCGTGGAGATGGGATGGAAGTATGTACCATCAGGAAATTTGAATTCTTGCAGAACGGTCTCTGTGTTTGTATCTTCTCCCTCGCTAGGAGTCGTATGTTTGTTGCTGCTGCATGGAGTTGGAGCTGGTTTACAGAATACGGTCGCGTTTAAATGAAAAAAAAAGTTTCATAGAAATTTGGCAGAACTTCAGAGGAACTTCAACTGCATCAGGAGTTTAGAATTTGACACAAACATGTATACTTTAAAAAACTTTGTGAGTTCTCAAAAAAAAAAAAAAAACAGAAGCAAATATATCTGGAAAACACACCCTCGCGCGGCCACAAACCAATCCATCCTTGGCGCGACAAACCAATTCACGGCTTTATCATGATCTCCTCCTCGAGCCTGCTGGGCAACGCCACGCGCGAGTTTGTCTAGGAACGCCACGAACCCCTCCAGCGTCCAGCCCTTCACCGGGTCGGCCTCGAACGACCAGCTGACGCGCACCCGGCCGGGTCGTGCTCCACCCGCACGGTGGCCCGGTACCTGCCGACGCCCTTGTTGCTGTCCAGCAGCTCGTAGCTGTACCACCGCCCCGTGTGATCCGTCTCCAGGAGCACCTCCTTGGACCACCCCACGGGCTCCCCCGGCGCGGCCATGTTCACGGGGCCCTCGCAGTAGCGCACGCACCCGGGGGCGGGGAGCCCCTCCGGCTCCGGCTCCACCGCGCCCTCCACCTCCACCACGCGCCGGCACGTCCGCACCGTGGAGACCCACCGGTTCAGGGAGCAGAAGTCGCCCAGCAGCGCCCACGCCTCGTCGGGCGTCGGCCCCGACGCCACGGCGCGCACCGTGCCGCGCCACAATACGACCGGCGCTTCTTCCCGGGCCGTGTCGTGATCCATGGAATGGAGTGGAATCGTGCGGCTTTTGTGTGTGTAAGTGGCGATGCGATGCGAGACGTGCTTGCGCGCGACGGCGAGACGTGGAGTCAGCTGGTTCTCGCTGTTTTATACAACGCCGTCGACTGCTGGCATGTACAAGTGTCCAACCGCAACTGGGCAGAGTAGCCTGAATGCCTGATGTGCGTGGCCATGGTTGGGTTGGCACAAAGGTCAGTCACATGGTGAGATATCGCTCGCTGAGGTGTATAAAAGTGGTCGTGTCCAATGGGCAATGGCTGCCGTATTCGTCAGAGAGAGTACCAAACGTTCAAGCATAGCTTATTTTAAGATGTGGCGTGAGGTATAAACGTCTAATCATTTGTTGGGCGCGTATCAACATACTATGGCTATTAGCTAAATCAAGTGTTCATTTTTTTTCTGGCAGGCAACGGAGAAGATTCTCTCTCTTTCTTCCGGTCCCTGTTATATATGCATTATTTTCTACACCAACTCAACGGGATATATACAATGGGTGACTGCCTGGCTGCAAACTTCCCACTGCTCGCTGAGCAATAGTAGGATAAGCCATTGGATACCGGCTTCCCGATCAACTATTTTTATACTAATAATAACTCCATCTCCAGCCGCCACCACTGATATCGAGTTATTGACTATTTCAAACGACGGAATTTATGAGATTTAATATATTTTAGGTTTTAAGTGTCTGAATTTTAGTTTTCTTTCATACGACAATTATTGCATATATTTTTTTTTTAAAATTACAGTTTTAGTTCGTTGCAATTTCAGTAGACAAAATTTGTAATTTTTTGTTATGAGAATGAAAACTCATTAGATAAAACCACAAACCTGACAAAATCCGATATGTGTTGGCATAAAAACAATTTAACAATTTATAATTATTTTTATTGTCAAGGAAAAAAGTTTAATATGTTATGACACAAACCAAATAGCAAATCAAAAAATGACAATTTACTTATACTATGCTAATTGGTAGTATAAAAGTATTGCTTAAAATCATTTTAAAATTCATGTACCTGAAATATGGGAGAAGTGGAAATTTATAAAGAACATGTTTGGGTGCATATTTTCCTGGAATGGTGGTGGAAATAGGTCAAGAATCACACCAAATATCTCACGAGGTGGACGATTCCTGCAACCGCACATGTGCTACCCAAACCACTCCACGTTAGGAATTAGATGTTTTTTCATTAATCATTAAGAAGGAAATAGGTACCCAAAGAGAGGATTTAAACTTGAGTGGTTGAATGCATGATCACACCTTTTGTAGGTATTTCGTAAACCAGACTAGTAAATTTATATGAATGCCCGCTGCTCTAGAAAGACGATGGTAGCATCAAAAGACATAATGATTTATACTGGTTCAGGTCGGAGCCCTACATCCAGTCTCAGAGATGATCGAATGCATGTTCCTCGCTTAAATGCTCTGAAGTTTTTACAATGGGGTGCAAGAATGGTGGAAGAGGTATGAGAGCTAGAGCTAGGAGAAGAGCTGTCCCGAAGGAAAACTTCGAGAGCCCGATCAGAATGGAGATGTCCCCTCAAGGGGCGCCTGCCCTTATATAGAGTCCGGAGCCAGGTTTCATACAAAGAAGGAGGTTCTCCCCACCAAAGGGCCGTGAGCATGAGGGAAGTGGCCTAGCTAACTTGGCTTGCAAGTAACACCGTCTTGTGGTGCATGTCTTGGCGTGGCTATCGTCATGGTCTTGTGCTCACGTCGCGATATTGAGTGACGTGGTGCCACAGTGCAAGTCATGGTGGTACTGTGGGCACGATGATATTTCGCCAGCCATCATGCGCGACGTGGCCTCGCCTGGTCTTCATCATCGCCTCCTGATAATCCTGGGGCGTCGTACGAGAGTAGGTAGCCACCCCTTGGCCGCCGATTGTCTTGCTGCTTTGTGGAGTTGGTGGCCACGATCCCAATCTCTGGGGTCATGGCCCGTGTTGGCTTGGATGGCCTCTAAGTCAAGGCCATCATCGTGGATCCCATCCCGTAGTGGGTACGATCGTACAAACATCTTGTCGGGCCGTGTTTGGACGGTGGTCCTCCATACCGCCGTCACCGTTCGGCGATGTTGTCTTATCTCTGCGTGCGTGGCGCATGGATGACGTCGACCGAACCGAGGTGACCGTTATCCCCTCGATCCTTACGGGGTCAGTGTGGCGTGCCTGGTCTTGTTAGAGTAGGCGCGCTTGGTTGGCTTGGTTTCTCCCACCCAGGGGTCGAGACGGCAAGAAGTCATGAGCTGTTACATAGTGTGCGGCTATGGCAGAAGGGAGGGGTCATGACCGACCCCGGCCTTAGTGATTGACCCGATCCGCTTAGCCTAGTTGGGCCTTTGTCGTTCGGGCTCAAGCTTGGCTTTGGTATCGTGGGTTATTCGATCCTGCTGGCTAGTCGATGCCTTGAGAAACCGAGGATCATAACCCCGACAGCAGCCCCCGAGCATTTTTGCGATCACGAAGTGATCGTGAAAGCGTTGAGATGCGTGTTCGTGGAGTGTGAGTTCGTAGTCGTGGCCTGTCCGAGCTTTGTCGCTCGACCCCTTGTGGGCTAGTGCATTAATGCGGTAGGTGACCGTTTCATCTCGCTTTGTTAGGACGCCCTGACGATGCGGTACGCGACTATTGAGCCCTGCCGTGGCAGTGTGCTGTGTATCAGGGTTTGTGACCTAGGCGGGGCCAAGTGGTCTTGTCAACACTGTACCAGCCCTACCTTTTGGGAAGGTCTCGATTTCCCTGACCTCACATAGGCATCTGGCTTTGGCTGTGGCCTCTCGAGGTGCGCCACGCGACGCGGGAGGCTTCAGACTGTTTAGTCCGCCCTTTGGCCTATAAATATGTGCCTCCTTACTGTTCAAACCACCTTGACCGTGTCTACATATCGTCCTTATTCCCTTTTGAGAAGCCAAGTTTTTAAGAGAGGAGAGAGAGAGAGAGATTCATGAAAAACTATGAGGTTCCAACCATGTGACCTGCTGAGGGGTTGGTTTTATTGGCCAAAACCTAGATTGTGCTCCCTCTAACGACTGGTGCTAGAAGGAGTTTTGCGGATAGGGGAGGACGAGTTGGTGCGGCCCCCAAATCTCAGCCTTGTGCGCTCCCCTCCTTCCAAGATCTTTGACTCTAGTGTGCGAGGTGGTCCTAGGCTTTGGATGGTTTAGTTGCTCCATCCTCATCTTGGAGCGGACGATGTTGTCCACCTTTCGCCCTATCCCTTTAGCTCCATAGGTCATGATGCTTGAGGGGATTTGTGAGGTGTCCCTTTCTTCGGACGAGCGATGATGGAGGGGGCGCCCTGCAAGCCTCCTTCTAGCATCGTGGCCTTGGGAGCTTGCAACCTTTCCGCCATGTTGGCGTAATCAGGATTTTGATGCAGTTTATGGTCGGGACGCTCTTGTAATCGCTGACCTTGATTAAGGAATAGTCCTCTATTGGTATGGTCGCGATGCCTTTGAGGGGTCACAATGAGCCCCCAAGCCGTTTGCTCGGGCTTAGGTATTCAAGTTCGAGGTTGTAACCCCTAAGCGGGTCATTGGATTGCCGCCACTATTGACGGTAGTTAACAACCATTATAAATCATCAATTAAACATGTATAAGGGCATAAATGTAATCACCAATGTAGGTTTATGGGTTTAAACTAATGAATTTTATGAGCTTTGGTGATTTCAGACTGCAGGAGGATTTATCTAGAAAACAGCTCCTAGGACCACTGTCATACACTCCAAACAAGAAAAATCGACGACAACAAGTGACTCAACCCGTGAAACCTATGAATGATGATTCAAGACGGAGCCCAAGCCTCGCCACCAGAAGGAGGAGCCCCACTGGCACTATAGTGGGCCGCCCGGCCCACTAGGGAGGCCGCCCGGGCCATGAGGGTGGCCCATCACCCTCCGCAGCGACGTACTCCTTCCTACGATCTACACCGTTGATTCTAAGACGGTTTTAGGTTTGGTTCATCCAACGGTGGTCGGGAGAGTTGACGTGGATCGATGACGTGGCAATTCCTTGCCCCCTACTCCTCCTAGAGTCCTTGTCCATTACTCCACCTCGATTCCTTGGCCGCTACTCTACCTCTGGCCTATATATAGCAGCCCCTACCCACCTCCCTCACGAGATCCTGAAACCCTAATTCATATCCTCCTTATCAGGATCAGAGCCAGCTCTCAAGATGTAGAAGTAGAATAGCTCTAATTGAGAGTTAGGGAGAGTTGAGCCATGCTTAGGTTCCGGAGAAATCTTCGAAGGTCAGGTATATTTTTGTATCTTAACTTTGCAAGACATATGCTTTAATATAATTATCTTCTCTATTCACTTTTATGCCTTTCATGTGTATGGTTAGTATAGTTAGCATATGTTAGCATGGGATCTTCGCTCGCATCAAGTGCTCTAATTATTATATGTGATTAGAGTACTAATTAGTGTGTGTAGACATGGTGTCTAAACTATGAGTTACCTGAGATTGCACCCAACCCCGCGAATAGTTGTGGTAGCCCCAAGTGGTGACAGCCCCGATTGCCTATGTAGTCCACCATGTTTGGGTTGGTGTTTGTAGGACCATAGTCGAAGCTTCCTAGTCCCTTTCTCATCCCTTTCTGTGGCTAGTGTTCCGATGTCCCAAAGTGCTATTATGTGTGATCGCTATATCTACCCATGCTTTAGTTATACCCTCTAGTCTAAACTAGAATAGAACCGAAGTAATAGAGAAGTATTTAGGAACCTTGAACTCAACCATTGTCCTCTCAACTTAGCTAGAATGTTCATTTATAGAATTATCTTATGTGTGTTATTATTCATAACTCTTATCATAAACAACACTTACCCCCACTTTAGTTTAGTTAGTATACTAGTTAGTAGATACATGATAGTGAACTATCAACTTCTTTAATCATTATTTCCCTGTGGATAAATACGATACTCTAGAATACTCCCGGGTACTCTAGAATACTCCCGGGTGAAAGCTACAAAGGTATTC